ATATATATATATATATATATATATATATATATTAGTTCATCTATAAGCACTTTTATTAATATCATTTTCATCTTGTTTTTTGAACTTTTTATTCATTTTTATATAGTATTCATATTTTTATATCTATTTTACCCTTAATAACTTAATAAAATAAAAATAAAAAATATTACGGGAGCCTTATATGTCATTAGTATCAATATAAAATTCTTATTATTAGATATAATTATAATTAAGATTTCACGACCGAGCTTTTTCGCACCCTTAGCGTACTTTCTCAGGTCCTGTTACTTTCTTAATTATAGCTATATTAATAACAAGAACTCTAAGTTTAACACTAATAACAATAAGGACCGTTCAAAGGGATCATTGATTAAATATATTTCTGATGCACAGGTTCCATTTTCATGGCAAGTGCAGAGCATACTCTATATTTAATAGTAGAGCAAAGTATTCTCTCACGGAAGGAAATCTAAGACATAATTACAAGAATAGAGTTTTCAGGAAAAAGAGAAGTGTTTAGAAACTCATGATAATATAAAACAGAAGTTTTATTTATGGTTGCGGTTCTTTGCCTCTCAATATTACACAAACCTTGCTTATATAGAGGAGTTGGGCTACCAGACTTGAAATCCTCATGAAGCAAATTTAAGACTATTATCGTAATGGCTGACGCTATTACAAACTCGTACAATGACTCATAACACAGCTCATACTGACTTACAAACTAGTACAATGACAGCTCATACTGGCTAAAGATGTTAAGTTACATCTGCCGACACAAACAACAAACTAGTACTTATAGGGATAAGATTCCCTCAGACTCAGTAATTTTACAAAAGATGTTAGGTCACATTTTATTGATACATAGCTGATCTTCAGGATAAGATTCCTTCACGTGATGGTCAGAAATTTCCATCAGTTAGTGCTTGAGGATAGGCTCATGACTAGATGACAAGTTTGGGTCTGAATTACTGGAATCAGAATCAGAGGTTGAGCTGTAGGCTTGAGATAATGTTGGACTATCAAGATGATATGCATTATCTTCATGCATTAGGATTTGCCCACGTGTATCAACACTTTCAAGAATGAGTTGTTCTGCTGGAGCCGTATTGACTGGTGGACAAACTTGCTTAGCCATACTGTAATAATTTATATCTGGCTCAGGAGGGCAAATGATATCTAATGGCTTTAAGTTGGCACATGTAGAACTTCTGTTAATGACTTCAGCAAAAGTTTCGTTTAACCTGTGAAGTTCAATGATCAATTCACTCTGATAAAAAAGAGGTTGATCTTCTTGAGTGAACATTTGAAGGTTTAGATATGTAGACCACATTTGAACTTGGTTTTGTGTCCATAATAATTTTGTTTTTGGATGTTTAAAATATGGACCATGAATAATGGCAATGGTAACCATTTTCCCCAAATCTCATTGACTAGGATCATGATGCTGTCGAATCCTTCTTTTTTCAGCTTCAAGGTCTTCAGTCCATTTTTGTATTGGTTCATACCAGGACATAAATTCCCATAATAATGAACCTTCATTTTCTGTATTCTGCAGAAAATTAATCATTTCCTGGGTAGGAAAGATTAATGGATATTGATGGAGTAAAGAGACGCTCCATAGATACCACATGTCATCTTCAAGAAATGTTTTTCCCAGTAAAATGCCAAAGATGTTTAAAAAGGGTGTGTCTGGATTAAACCAGTTTGGTTTGGGTGGAATATGGTGTTTGTGTAAAGAGACTGCTAGATAAGAGAACATATGTTGTCTAGCAAAATTTTGCAATGTTGCAGGAGAGACAGGGAAGTCTGGTGTGATTTCTGGAGGAAATTGGTTTTTCCAAGGATTAGGTTGAGAGGATGAGGGTGATGGCTCATTCATCAGGATCATTGGATAAGTATAATCAGAAGATATTATACTTATATGTTGGTTAGGCTTTCTTGGTCTAGAGAGGTAGTCTGGGATGAAATTGTCTTTTCCTTTGATATGTTTGACTGTAAAATCATACCTAGAAAACCATTCTTTTAGCCTGAGTATTTGTGCATTGGGAGGAACCCTGTTCTTGAATTCTAACATTCGTGGGAATACAGAATTATCCAGTTGAATTTCAAACTGATGTCCTCTGAGATGGAAATCAAACTTTTGAATTCCATGTTTGACTGCTAGAGTTTCTTTAAAGATGGTGTGATAATGAAGTTCTGATTCTTTAAACTTTCCACTAGCAAATCCACAGAAAAACTGTTGTCCTTGGACATCTTCAATCAGAATTGCACCCCAATAATGATCACTTGTATCTGTTTGCAAAATTCTTTTTCCTTCTCCAAGAATTTTTAGTGGAGGAGGATTTTGAGCAATCTTCTTCAGAGCTTTTACTGCCTCTGTTTGGGCTGATCCCCATGGAGGGGGATTCTTTTTTAGTAGCTTTGATAATTGTGAAATTTGAGGAGCAATTTTGGGAATAAAATGTCTAACATAATTAATAATCCCCAAGAACTGTTGAACCTCTTTGACAGTCATATCCTTTTTGTGGAAATTCTGGGAGTCTTTCTACAATATGAGGTTGAGGAACGTATTTGCCATAAGCAAAATGCATACCAAGAAAATTAACCTCTTTGACTCCGATTTTAGATTTCTTTGATGAAAGCATGACTCCATACTGGTTACAGATTTGGTGAAACTGTTGTAGGAGTTTTTTATGACTGTCTTCATTAGGAGAGAAAAGTAGGATGTCATCAATGTAGATCAAAGCACTATGCAAGATAGGTTCAAAGATTCGAACCATAGCCTTCTGAAATAATGAAGGAGCAACTTTCAGGCCAAATGGAAGGACTGTCCACTGGTAATGAGCATTTGGGATGCAAAAAGCTGTTTTTGGTCGATCCTTAGGATCTAGGCCAATCTGCCAAAATCCAGATTTGAGATCGAACTTTGAGAAGTAGTATGCATCCTTTATGTAGGCATGAAGTGAATATATCTTTGGAAGAGGAAATTTGTCATCTCTTAGAAACATATTCAGAGGTCTATAGTTAATGACAAGTCTCTTCTTGTTTCTAGCTTGTTCAGCTCTTTTATTCACATAAAATGTCGTACATGCCCAGCTTGAGTTTGTGGGCTCAATGAGTCCTTGTTCCAGTAATTGTTGGCATTCTTCTTTAGCTGCCTGATATTCACTTGGTGACATTCCAGGATGACTGGCCTTGGTTGGATTGATATCTTCATTCATTTTGAAAGGTAGTTGGACAAAGAATTCTTTTCTTGTCCATAGAGGTTGGGGATGTTTGAAGAGATCATGACTGTCAGCACATAGTTTTCTGATCTGATCTCCAATTTCTTCAAATCCTGGAGGAAGTTCTGCTAGTGAGAACATATTTGAATTCTTACAGAAAGGCTTGAATTCCCTTTTATATTTTAATCCATGAGCAAGAATTTGTAACTTGGTGCTCTGGACTAAAAGATCCCTACCAATGAGAATATCTTTTCCATGAAGGCTATCTCCAATTACTTTCATCCAAATTGTGCAATCTGGGAAAAGCTTAATTCCAATTTTTGAGGATGTAACTAGATCCGTTTGATAACTCTTTCCATCTGCAGTTATAAATTTATGAACTTGAGTTGTCCATAAATTTGATGGGAGTATTGCAGGATTGAGCATTGTTCTGGATGCACCAGTGTCAATAAATGCAATAACTTTGATAGGCACATCATACTTTGTTGGCAAAATGAATGCTTCAACATTTGGTAATAATGAAATCTCCTTTTCCTTTTGAAAACATACCTCTTCTATTTTCAGTATCGGAAAGTGGTTGCACTCATCATCAGTATAGTCAGAGTGTTCTGAGGAGCTATCATTTTCTCCTTCTGAGTGTGTGATGCCAAAGACAGTTAATTCATCTGGACTTTCTTGTTCATCGAACAGAGATTCTACATCTTCATCTTCCAGTTTGAGTGTGCTTATCAGCTTTGTGGCCTTCTTTTTGTTAGGGCAATTTTTTGAGAAATGTCCTTTTCTTCCACAAATAAAACACTTGCTGTTAGATCCTTTTCTTCTGAAGGGTTTTTTTCTTGAAGAACTTGAAACTTTTCTTTCCCTTCTTCTTAAAAGATTTAAACCTC